CCCTGAGGTGGACGCCCCCCGCGAGGACTCGGGTGCGGAGCCCGGCGCGAAGGTAACCGGGCGGCCGCGGGCCGGGGAGGGGCCGCATCCCGGGGGCTCGGCGGCGCGGGGATGTTTCCTCAGCCACCTCGGCGTGTGCAACGCCCAGGTACCTCCCCCCAGCCGCGCTCCTGCCTCCCGCTCTGCTGCGCGCTGCGGTGCCGCTTCGGGGCTGCGCGTCCCGGTCTCCGTGCTTTGCGCTCGCCGTGCTCGGTGCTGTCTGTCCGTCACCTCGTTGCCTCTGGCCGCTCGCTCGTCTTCTCATTCATTTCTCCCTATCCCGACTTCGGTCCCTAACACCCGAGCATGCTGTCTGGTTATTCCCCCCTGCTTCTCGCGCCCCGCCGGGCTCCCCGGGCTCCCCGGGCTCCCGGTCCTTGACTTGTGTGCCCCTCCTGCTTGGCTCCCTACTATTAGAATGTCCATTTCCCTGCTTACCGAGTCCGTTCGCTCCGGGCACAGCACGGTATCCAACCCCCTTCTCCCGGTGTGTTTGATTTCTCGTTGGAACTGCGTTTTCATCAGGGTTCTGTGTAGAGCAGGAACCCCTGGGAGTCTTTCTCCGAGGCACCCCCAAGCCCTGCTTCTCGCTCCATTCTTACTGCAACAGAGTTTTATACTCGGGGACAGGACTTCTTCCAACACTTGACCCAATGGGCCCAGTGCCGGATCCACCTCAGTATTACTTTCTAGTCCCCTCCCATCGGTGTGCATCCTTACACACCCACACTCAAATGGTGGTACCTTTGAGGATGGCCTTTCGCTCTTCTCCCAGTTTTAATTTTTAATTCAGGTTGCCGCCGAAACTGTTGTCTTCATTTTCTATGTTTAATCTGGAACTCACAATATGAATTAAAAAACGAGTAGATTTGTGTGCCTGCAGGGTTTTTGATGGCAATTTCCCCAGTGGAAAGACTTTAAATTGGCCCTTTTCTGTTTTACGATCTGGGGGAAATGAGGGGGTTGTTGAATTTATGAACATTTTTTAATGCAAGCCTCTATTGCAAGTAACAGGGTCTGATGTCTCTTGAGTTCAGTGAGATAAGTCCAGTAATCTATACATATAACTGTGCCATGCTGCCTCTAATCCTTACCCCCTCTTTTTCTTCACATGCTGATATTGAGGATTCATGGGTCTGTATCTGTTTAGTGCTTTGATATTTTTGGCAAAAGATGTGGGGAGAAAGGTAGACTGGAGGTGAAGCTGGTAGAATGTCCTCTGTGTACCTCTTCCATTATATCCATGTGTGGAGTGACCTTTGCTTTTCCTAAAATGGGTAGAGTTCTCTGGGGACGGTGGTGTGATGAGATGCTGGGGAAAGAATTAGGAGAAATAGCAACTTGAATTGCCAAGGCCAAGAGTTTGACTTTTATTTACTTGTTTGCTGGTTTGGGATGCATTCCTGAGATTACTCAGTTCACCTAATGAAACTATAGATAGCCCTTAGCAGAAATTGTCGTCAGACATTTATATTGCTAAGCCACATAGTGTTTTGGTGACCTGATATTCTAGGAGTCTGGTGTTTCACAAGTGAAGAATATACAGTGAAAGTTTAACAAAAGAAAGAAAAAAATAAGGAGAAAAATAATGTCATTTTAGTGCTGCTTTAGAAGAATGTTTCTATTTGCTTCTCATGTCTTTGACTCATATATATTTCTATTTACTTTTGCTAATTTTGATGTCCCCTCTAGAGGGTAAATTCTTACACTTTAATAAAGTTGAATCTTCTTTGTTTGAGTCGGAATGTTACTTAATGTCACATACTTGAGAGTGTGTAGCATGTTCACTTATTTGCTAATAGGGACACAGAAGTTATATAAGTGACCAGCCTGAGGCTTTAATTAGTAGCTTGGCCTGGAGCCAGTCAGCTACTTTGGATATGTGGGCAGTAGGCTAGCTCTTCTGTCCCCAGCGTTTATCCCCTTCTATGACCTGTCCACTGTCTGCCTCATCAGTATCCGGGCTCTCCTCCGTGAATGAGAATACTCAACACTGAATGACACTGCTTTAATGACAGATTTTGTTTGTTTGTTTGTTTGCTTTTTTGTTTGGGGAAGAGACATGGTGGTATAAAGACTGGATACACAGAAAATCCTTGTTTCCACTATTATAAAATGGGGACACTAATACTTACTATACAACACTGTAAAAAAATGGTATAGGTGAAGGGTCTGGGCCAAGGAAAGGAGGCACCTAGAGGCTTCACAGGAAATGCTGTCCATTGTTATGATGATAATGGTATGACAGAGATAAAAATAACAGCAAGTTTTAAATGGGTCGATTTTAAACTGTTGAAAAGTGCTGGGGGATGTAAGGTGGCTTGTTATAGTCTGGTCATTTTATTTAATGCTATCCGGGAGGGGGTATGTAAGGTTCTTTCTTTTGAGACAGTGACTAGTTTGAAAAGATGATGGAGTGAAGAGATTGTGTTGCAGATTTGGGAGTTCTAAGTCCTCAGAGAGGAAGAAGAGTCTTAGATACTTTGTGGACTTACTGTGGTTTTGAATGATGATGATGATGATGATGATGATGATGATATGAAATGTCATTTTTAGCTTCGAGGTATAACTTTAATCCTTTACTGATTCCCATCTAGGGCTTGAGTCAGAGCACCATCCTTGGGGACCCTGGACCACGATCATGGAGACTGAGAGTGAGCAGAACTCTAGCTCTACCAACGGGAGTTCCAGCTCGGGGGGCAGCTCTCGGCCCCAGATTGCGCAAATGTCCCTGTATGAGCGGCAGGCAGTGCAGGTGAGCTCAGCCAAGTGCTGGGGAGTTCTGGGAGTACTTGGGTTAGGCGAGGATGCGGAAGACCATCCCCCCAGGTTTTTCTGGAGTAGGTCAAGAATGAGCTTTCTTTCACTTTAGAGTCTTAGCAGTTCACAGAATCAGAGCAAGCAAACCCAGAAGGAAATTTGGTTATTTTGTTTTGGTTTTAGCTATGTACCAAGTTCAACACAGCTTGGATAACTTGGTGAGAACTTGTCTTGAAATAAAAATACTAAAAGACAGAGCTGGAGAATGTGGTTCATTGATTGGAACAAAGTATTATAAAGTTCATACATGAATACATAAGGTTTAGTCTATTGAACTAGGTTTTAATTAACCATTTCTTTTCATTGTTAAAAAATATTTATTATTTACTATTATGTGTGTGTTTATAGTGCTGGATTTGTGGAGGTCAGAGGACAACTTATGGGTTTTGTTTCGGCTCTGCAGTATATGCAGGTCCAGTTGGTCCATGCATGGAGCTTCTGGCCAGTTCTGTTTCCATCTACCATCATCTCATTTTAAGAGTGTTGGTAGCCGGACAGTGGTTACACACGCCTTTAATCCCAGTACCTGGGAGGCAGAGGCAGGTGGATCTCTGAGTTCAAGGCCAGCCTGGTCTATAAAGTGAGTTCTAGGACAGCCAGGGCTACACAGAGAAACCCTGTCTCAAAAAACCAAGGAAAAACCAAAACCAAACAGACAAAAAAAAGTGCTGGGATTACAGATGTGCAGCACTGCATCTGACCTTTTGTTTTTCATTGTTCTGGGGATTGAACTCAGGTCCTTGGGCTTGTGCTGCAAGTGCTCATTCCCAACGAGCTCTCTTTCCTGCTCCAGTAGTCAAGTTTTCAACTTCGGGCCTTAGAAATTATTCTGACTAATAGAAATATCATGAACATTTTTAAACATTTACTTTTGGACTGTTTGGAAAATATCACGTTTGGAAATGAAGCATTTTTTTTTTTTTGGTAGAACAGTTGTAATTATTAAAGAGGAAGAACATAGCAGAATTCAGTTGACACTAAAATGATCACTCTCATTTTTATGAGTAGTCATGATGTTGTACAGTAGTTATGTGAAAATGTCAATTAGTTGACAACTTTGCCTAGTAGAATTGTTCAGAAGTTACCACTGCTTTTCTGTCATTGATCTCCAAAACTCAGGGATCTGTATATCTTTGCTGGACACCTACAATATATTGCCTTTTCCTTTTATTATTAATGTGTATTTATGTATTTGAGATATGGCTTACTCTGTAGCCCTGGGTGGCCTGGAACTCATCATCTTCCTGCCTCACTCTTTTGAGTACATCTGCCACATGCCCAGCTTTTTTCCTTCTATTAGTCAGTATCCCATTTATTTGCAGTTTGTACAGATCTTTTTGCCATATGTTTCCAGGACTCATTTTGGGAAGTAAAAGTTCATGTGCACTGGTTTGCTTTTCCTTATATGTGAGGACAGACCATATAATCAGTTGTTTATCCTGCTTTAGATGGCTGTATAGACTACTGAACCCAACATAGTAACAACAAATCAGATATGATGATGGTTCCGCCTCCATCTCCTTTAGTTTATCTCCTTCCTGACTCCCTTATAGAGATGCACATAGGATTAGAAATGGTTGTTCTTAATTCTGTATCCTGTCTTCTAGGCTCTGCAGGCACTGCAGCGGCAACCCAATGCAGCTCAGTATTTCCACCAGTTCATGCTCCAGCAGCAGCTCAGTAATGCCCAGCTGCATAGCCTGGCAGCCGTTCAGCAGGTGAGAGGTCAGCAGCCAGTTGGAATGGGAGGGAGGGGTTAGGTACTGCAGGTTTAGGGTAGAAGAGCAGTCTGGGGCAAACCTCACCCTACACCAAAGCCTTCTGCTGCCTCCTGTACTTAAAGGAAAGAGGGTGGTTCTTACATTCTGGACTTGCAGTGTGAACTGTGGAAGACTCTTTAGCGATGGAATGGCTGTGTTGTAGACCTGCTCTGTCTAATATGTTAGCTACCAGCCATATGTAGCTACTGAGTACTTGAAATGTGGCTAGCTCAAGTTGAGATGACATTATAAGAGTATAGAAGACTTCAGTTGACAAAAAGGTAAGAGATCTCTATCATTTCTATATTAGTTTAATGTTGAGGTGATAATATTTGGGGACAGAGATGGATCTTTGAGGTAAAAGCATGTGCCTTAAATGTGTGAAACCTGGGTTTAGTCCCATCCCCCCATTCCTCCCCAAATGATAATATTTATTTTGTATGTATTGTATTAAATAAGTTACTGAAATTTATATCATCCCACTTAATACTTTTTAAATATGCGTAGTAGGAAGTTATATATGTGGCTTATTTGATGTTGTATTAGACAACTCTGCATTAGATGTATCAGTGACTCGTGATGTGACTTGAAGGTGTAGTTCTTCAGCCCAATAAAGAGTGTGAGAGGGAGAGGACAGGTTGCCTACTGCCCTGGTGTTGCTGGGCAGGCTTATATGGTTGTTTGAGGTTATAGGGATAGTGATGTATTTTTTCCTTACTCCAATACAGAGTCTCTCTGTTCTTACCTGACATTTCTGTTTTATGTCATGAATTAATACTAGGAGACAGGGAAACACACAGCCTCTTCATTGTTTCTGTTATGCTTCCCCTTCAACAGGCCACAATTGCTGCCAGTCGGCAGGCTAGCTCCCCAAACAGCAGCACTGCACAGCAGCAGAGCGCCACCACCCAGGCCTCGGTGAGTGCTGTCTCTCCTTGAGGGCAGTGTCTGTCAACGTCTGCTCTGTGCAGCTGATCTGAGAAGGTTTATCGTGTCACCAGTGGTTATTATTGTTCTTATTGGCAATAAAAGAACAGGGAACCTATTTGAGTCTGTCAGAGTCTTTGTTTTCAGACAGGCTTTCCCTGGCTAGTCTGTGCTGCCTTGTACTTACAGTCATCCACCCGCCTCTCCCTCCTGAGTGCTGGGATTATAGGCATGCACTCCATGTATGGTTTGCTATATAGGAGTCTTGAAAAGGGCAGACATAAGGAAGGAGAAGATTTGGGGGAAGAAGAGATAACAAACGAAAAGTTGCTTTTTCAGAGAGCAACTTTTTGCTTGCTTAAGTGTTGACATTGGTGGTTGTGGGCTTTCTTTTTGATTGTCTTTTGCTTTGGTAATACTCCAAAGGGTATAGGATGACAGTTTTAGACAGGAAGTTGTTATTATTTCCCTTGATTTCATGAAAGTAGCATCCTATTCTTGATTGTGCCACTCTAAAGTTGTCAGTTGTGTGTATCCTCTTTGATTTCTTCTCAATCCTTAGTCCTGGTTCCTTCATGTACTGTACAGATCAACCTGGCGACCACATCAGCTGCGCAGCTCATCAGCCGATCCCAGAGTGTGAGCTCTCCCAGTGCTACCACCTTGACCCAGTCTGTGTTACTGGGGAACACTACTTCCCCACCCCTCAACCAGTCCCAGGCCCAGATGTATCTGCGGGTAAGTCATAGCCGTAGCCTCCGTTGTCCTGGGGCATAGTTCATAAGTGGTCTTCCTGGCGAAGAATGCAAGTATTTCATTTATTTACTTTTGTGGTGTCAGGGAGAGAACCCAGGGCCTCATGCATACTAGGCAAGTGCTCTGCCCTGAGCGATACCCTTAGCCCGAGAGCTGTTTTATTAAATTCAATACAAGTTGTTCTATTCCCTGTGCCTTATGTAGGCTAGAAAAGATGCTTTTAGATAACATTGAGATCTTCTGCTGGAAGATGTGGCCTTGACATTTGATAAATCAGTGTTAGATAATAGTCTAACCTTTAAATGTGCAATTTGGGTACCCAGATTCTAAGTATCTCTCAGCTTATCTATTTCTGTGTAGAACTATGTGTCTAACATCCTTGTTGTCTAAATGTCTTTGATGTTTGACTCTTCATTATCATTCTATAGTCTTCTGTACATTCTAGGTTTTCTTCTGGATGATTCCTCACATTTGGAGAATGAGAAGTTCTTGGGTTGGTGTGGAAAGGGGCAGGCTCAGTTGTTTAATATCTGCTGTTTATTTTGTCTTGTGGTCCTTTCCTTCCATTTCTTCTGTCTCTTCTTCTCTTCTTTTCCTCTTCTTCCTCTCCTTGCCAGCCACAGCTGGGAAACCTATTGCAGGTTAACCGGACCTTGGGCCGGAATGTGCCTCTAGCCTCCCAACTCATCCTGATGCCCAATGGGGCAGTGGCTGCAGTCCAGCAGGAGGTGCCACCCGCTCAGTCTCCGGGAGTTCATGCAGATGCAGATCAGGTCAGTGGCAACCACTCAATGTGGAGCAGCCCGGGAGCATGAAGGGGATGACTGTAGGCCAGGCCCCTTTCCTCAACTCCTTACATCCCTTAAAACTTGTCATTTGATTTGAGATAAAGAAGGAAGTAGAACTGCCTAAAAGGATCCCTGTGGACCTGGAAGTCTTACAATACAAGTTGATTTTTCTTGGCATCCTTTTGTCCACTGTAGCTTAGTTTTATTGAATCTTAAGTCCCTCATAGAAATGTCACCTGAAGTTAGGGATATTGGGGGGAAGTCTGTAGAGTTAGATGTGAACTAGCCCTGGCTGAGTTGCTGGTGGAATGTTTGGTTCCCTTTGTTCTTGACTTACTATAGTTCTCAACTTTCAGTCTCCTGTCCCTGTTCATGTTTTCAGTAAAGTCTTTCTTCCATTCGCTTTTTGTGACTTTTTCAAAATACAAATATTTTAATGTTAGCATACTGGTTGTCTCATTCTTTTAATCTGTCAAAAAGTAGATACATATATTCTGCTTGGGTATGTGTTTAGAGCTTTGGAGGATTAAAAGAGATGAG